ACCATGCTGCCAGAAACCCTAGCAGAGCACCTCCCTCCTCAGCCGCCAGCTTCGTTTTTATATATATATATATATATATATAACGGAAGGAGCATTATTCAGCTCCATACATAATGATTTATAAAAGCAGTACAAAATAATCCATTGGAGAATTTCCCTTACAAAATAAAGGAGGGAGACCAATCCAAAAAATTAAGGCATACATGAGTGCAATAAAACTTAATAAAGAGAAGAAAAAAAGAAAAGGAAAAAAAGAAAAGAGGCTCCAATAGACTACAGTTCTTTGAGATGACTAGCCTTGAATCTGAGATAAGGAGTCTCCAACTTATCCCCATGAAGTAGGAGAGCAAGAGGGGTGGGAGGTCTTGTTGACACTGAGATGGAGTTAGCATATATACCATGTCTGACAAGCCAATTAGTAGGTTGGTTCCCTTCTTTGTATATAAAGGACATATAAACTTGGAACATCTTGTATAGGTTGCCAATTTTCTGTTTCAATTTCATATGGTGCTAAGAGGATAGCTACTCTGTGGTGAGGTAAGTAATCAATTAATAAGAGTCCACCTCAATGCACAAATTATGCCATGCATCTTTCTGTGCAAAGGTAAGGGCCTAGTAAACAGCAATAAGCTCAGCTTCTAGAGCATCATGGGCCTCAGTAGGAGCATGAAAGAATAACAAACATTTGCTGGAGGAATCTCTGAAAACCCCTCCCACACCTACACCCCATTCAGAAAAACTATCATCAGTGTTAATCTTCATGGTTTGAAGATCAGGAGGTTTCCAAATTACTTTCTCAATCATGTTTTGTATTTTAGTTGCAGTGGTCTGAGACAAGCTGATATTAGAGAAGTTTTTTAGATGGATCAACTTGTTTAAATAGGAAACACAATTTCTAGTAACCTTATTGTATTGAATATTCATGTCTTCATGTTTTCTGTTGTTCCTGCACATCCACAAGAACCAGGCCACAATAAAAGGAATAGACTCACCTTTTTTACTTTTCCAGCTATGCCATCCATCTTTGAGACTTGACCAGTCCTTGTCCAAGCCCTCAACTTTTATTTTAGTAAGGAGTGCTTTCCATACCTCTTGAGCAAATTCACAATTAAAAAACAGGTGGTTATTGTCCTCTTCAGATTTTAGACAGAGATAGAATCTAAAAGGCCCTCTTAATCCCTTCAGTTTAATAATATCATCAGTTGGTAAAAGGTTGTTAATGAATCTCCAACAAAAGAAGGATATGGAGGGGGATAGATATCTAATCCAAATGGCTTCACCCCAAGGGACCTGATCCCAACAACAAAGTTTGGCATATATGGCTTTTGTCAAGCTTTGGTTAACATAGCTATGCCAGATAATCCTATCTCTCCTGCCCTTATCGAAAACAACCTTAGTGACTTAAGACATGTGGGGCTCTTGTAGAATGGATTGGAGCTTAGTAACAGACCAGGAGTCCCCTTCTCAAAGATCACAAACTGAGAGTTGAGAGTTGAAGTTAGAAGGGGGGGCCTAGCCAGTCCTTGGGACACCAATGGTCAAGCCAAAAGCTCACTTTACCATTCCCCAAATCCCATATGAACATATCTTCAGCGAGGTGTCTAATTTTAAGCATATTAGTCCAGATTCTGGAGTTCCCCAGCATTTTGGAAATGAGAGAAGGATGCTGGCCCTTGCAATATTTTCCATTCATGAACTTAGCCAACAAGGGAGTTTGGGTTCTTAAATTAATCCACATCTTACATAAATTAATTTGTGTGATTTGATGGAATCCCTTGAACCCCATTCCACCTGCTATTATTGGTTTAGCTGCCTTCTGCCAAGAAGCCCAGTGGAGCTGTTGTCTTTGACCTACCCATAAGAATCTATTAAAGACTCTCTCTAACTAAATTTGAATGCTTTCTTCAAGTAGTTAGTTTAAAGAATATATAAGGGAAAGGTAGTTAGGATGCTTCTGAGAAGAGTGACTCTTCCCTCATTTGATAGGAAAGAATGTGACCAACTGGATAAGGTTTTCTGAATTTTCTGAAAGACCTCATCAAATTGGGTCATTTTAGATCTCACCCAAGTGAGTTGGACCCCTAAATATTTTAAAGGGTCCTTAGCAATAGAGAAGCCAGTGTAATTTGAGACCCAATGTTTGCAAGTGAAAGAAACCCTCTTGTTAAATATAAGGTGGCATTTAGTAAGGCAAAACTCCATCCCAGTGTAGTTCTAAAATTGTTGTAGGCATTTATAGCCTTTTTTAACTGCATTCTTATGAACATTAGAGAATATCATGATATCATCAGAATACATGAGGTGGGAAATAGCTATATTGGATTTGTGATGGAATCTAGAGTACTGTTGGTTGATACTGATGGAATCTAGAGTACTGTTGGTTGAGAATGGTCCTGTCAAGAATTCTTGAGAAGTAATCCATAGCAATAATAAAAGTAGTGGGAGAGAGTGGGTCACCTTGTTTGAGCCCTCTGGTAACAGTGAAAGATCCCCAGGCTTTGTCATTGATCAGGATAGAGTGTTTGTTGTTGATGAGCCACCTGTAAATGAGTTTACTGAATTCAGGTTGAAATCCTCTAGCTGCAAGAATCCCCAAAATGAAATTCCAGTCAATGGTGTCATATGCTTTTTTAATATCTAATTTGTAAATTAAATATCCCTCTCTACTAATTTTATCTAAATCCAGAATGAGTTCTTGTGCTAGAAACACATTATCAGTAATGGATCTTCCTTTAATGAAGGCAGTTTGGTTTGGGCAAATAATCCTTTCAAGATGAGGTTGGAGTCTTCTAACTATGATCTTGTTTATTAGTTTACTTATGACAGATGTGAGGCTGATAGGCCTGTAATGTTCCCCAAGTCTTCTGCAAATCACCTTTAGGAGTTAGCACAATAGAAGTGTCTCCAAAATAGCTAGGTAGATTGACCCCCTTAAAGAAGCTCCTGACTTTCTCTACTACCTCCTTCTTAATAATGTGCCAAGCTTTTTTGTAGAAGTCAGCAGTAAAACCAGTCAGCAGTAAAAGAAGTCAGCAGTAAAACCATTAAAGCCAGCTGCTTTAGAGCTGTCAATTGTGTTTAAGGCATCCCAAATTTCCTCATCAGAAGGGGGTTCAGGGAGATTAAGCTGGTTAGTGTAATTCGATTCTTCAATAAAGTAATCTTCATAGTCAGTAATAAGATCAGCTGAAGATTTCAGGAGGGAACTGTAGTACTTAACAACATCCAAAGCTATAAGTTCATTGTCATTAATCCGTCTACCCTCAGTAGAGTAAATAGAGTGTATGGTATTGCACTTCCTCTTGTAACTTATATAAGCATGATAGACCTTAGTGTTCCTGTCACCTTCAATAAAGATGTTAATAGAAGCTTTCTGTTTGAGTAACATATCTTGTATGTCAACAACATTAAGCAGATTAGGTTGGGAACTGGGCATTAAGCAGATCTGTCTCAGTGGCAGTATTATTCTGAACAGCAGCCTCAATTTTTTCAACTTCATTCTCAGCAGACAAGGCATTGGAAAAAACTATCCCAAAAGTCTCCCAACCCCACTTCCTCGAAGCTTTGCTTTTTTTAAGATGAAGAAGGCTTAGCTTGATGAAAGGGTCAGTATGATCACTTCCCATCCAATTGGAAGCAACACAGCTAATGAAAAGAGGGTGAGTAGACCACAAATTAAGGTATCTGAAAGGAGGGTGATATGTGGTAATGCTAGGGGAATTAATGGATATAAGGAGTGTTCTATGATCGGAACTAGTGAGGGTTAAGTGGGTGACAAAGGTTAGGAGGTAGTGTTTTTGCCAATGGTCATTCACTAACACCCTGTCAAGTATTTCCCACAGGAGACCTCTCTTTCAAGTGAAATTAGGACCCTGGAATCCCAAGTCAAACAAAAAAGCTTGCTGAATTTGATCATTGAAGGAAGTCATTTTGGACAGATTGTGAGGTCTCCCCCCAGATTTCTCGGTAGCAGTAGTGATGTAAACAAAATCTCCCCCTACCATCCAGGGAGAGTTCATGTTTGTGTTGATGATATGTAGGCCCTCCTAAGGCTCTTGTCTATCTTCTTTGAGACTTCCAACATAAATGAAGGTTGCATACTTCAGATGGCCTTGGACTACAAGTGAAAGATGTATGAACTGTGGATGGTCAATAAGTATGCTCCACTGTATCTCTTTCGTACAAAAGAACAAAACTTTGTTATTCTTGTTGGCATAATGAGAAACACCATGCAATTTGTTAATAATTCTATGGGAGTTTTGCTGAACCATTGGTTCAAGTATAGCAAAACAACATTGTTTATATTTTTTATTGAGATAAATCAGTCTTCTTAAAAACTTGGATGGGAATTGCCCCTTATGTTCCAACACAACATGTTAATCATTGGATGGATTGAAATGGAGGGAAGGTTGAGATCTTGATCTGGTTCTTCCTCTAGAAGGAGGAGGTCCTCCATCTTCAGACCACTTGTGCTCCCATCATTTCCATCCTTTAATTTCCGAACTTCTGATTAAACTTTTTTCTTCTTCTTAGATTTCTATGTTTGTCATTCCTCTTCCAATAGGAGTTTCATCTCAGCTATGTATTTTCTCTCAGGGGCTTCCAAGACAGGAGTATCTTTCTGGATAATCTCCCTAGATGTCTCCTCTACATCTAGTGGAGCAGTTAGGGAAGTTATAATATTTATTTGATTCTCCTCCTCCGTGAAGTGTCTGGGGGGAAAAGTTAGTTGGATCAGTAGAGCCAAAAGGAGTTGTTGAGCTTCTGGGTGTATCCACCATGTCCTCCAAATTCCTTGTTGGAGGGGGTTCCACACAGACTGTAAGTTCTAGAGAGATAGGTAGATTAATCATTTCCTCAGTTGATACATTCTTCTTTGGGGGAGGGTGAAGCCTGAAGCATCTATCTTTGGTGTGTCCAAACATCTTGCAACTGTGATAATAGTATGGATTCTGTTCAAAAACCACGTTCTGCCAGAACCCCTCTTTGTCATTACCAATCTAGAGCCTTTTAATTTCAGGGAAGGTTACATCTCTTTCTATAAGAGTTCTAGCTAGGGCAGGTCTAGCTTTGTTATATGTGGGAGCATCAAGCTTCAGAGGTCTCCCAATTGCACTTGCAATATTAAATAAAGCATTGAGATTGAAATATTGAATTGGGAGGCCAGGCAATTTAAACCATAGGGGAACTATATGAGGTTCCTTACAAGGGTCAAAATCAGGGTCCCACTTCAAAATTTTCATGGTGGTGCCTCCAACTTGAAGATCTTGTTTTGCAAATAGTCTTGCATAAACTTCCTCCCCTGAAAGTTGGATAAGAAGATGTCTTCCATCTAGTATTCCAATATGCCAATCTCCATTGAATTTTAAAGATGCAAAATAATTCGTAACTAATTCCATTTTAGGGTGGCCAAGAAGAAATTTTCCAACCAAGGTGAATTTCACTTGTTCATTTAGATTGTGGATTTCTTGTGGTGATAAATATACATCTAGTTCTCCTTCCTTAATCCCCAAAGAATGAATGCAAGGGCTGTTAACCTTCCCAGCAGTTGTATCATGGAAGTTCTGCGGAAAGACTAAATGATCAGGATCACTGAGAGAGGCAGTATACTTGCCTACCACCCCAGCATAAGTGGCCTTAGCCCACTCAGCATCAGTTACTATGTCTATAGGGTTATCCACAAACTCTAGGAAAACAAGCTCAAAACAAAAACACCAGCAAATCACAAAGAATGATAAGAAAAGCTTCTGTGTGCTCAACACAGGCCATACCACATAGTAGGATCCAAACCAGCAGTAGACAACACTAAAGGGGAAATGGTTTCCTCCAAAAGAGCCAGAAACAGCTAGCCAAAACCAGAAGAAACCAAAGGAACTGTGAAGGCAGGCCAAAACCAGAAGAGACCAATGGAATAGTAAAATCCACCAAAGTACTAGGAAAAAGAGTTTGAGAAGCTGACTCCCATTGCCAAAGGAGACAGTAAATAGCTCCTTTGGGAAGATAGTAGCAGCACCTCCCACTGAAACCCCCTAGCAGAGCATCATCCTGCTAGAAATCCTAGCAGAGCCCCTTCTCCCCCCCCAGCCATATGTTTATATATATATATATATATATATATATATATTATATGTAGTTTCAAAAAATATGAAATCAAACAGACCCCATATTTTTCATAGTTTAAATGAAAGAGCACTATACCTTAAAATCTGTATCTATCTCGAAAGATAAACATAAGACTTGAGAATGAGGCTCGATCAAATAAACTAATAACTGTGGAAAATTAAGTTTTATATTTTTATTAAATATCTCTGTGTTGGCACTATTTTTGGTGTTGGGTTTGCCCGTAAGAAGTCGTCGGTCATCGAAATTGAAATCCCATTGCCCGCTTCGGAAGGACATTTTTTTACTTTTCAACAAGATCGAACAAAGAGGTGTGAAAAGGGAATGGTTCAAAGTTGGAACATTTTTTTGTAGAGTCCAAAATAGCAAGAACTAGGGTAGCAAGAACTAGGGGATGTCATAGATCATGAGGAGAACCTAGGTGACTTCCCAGTCTATCCAAATGTTTGGCTTTAATTTAAATGATAGATTATTTGAATGTTTCATCCTGTAAGTTTTATTTGTTTAGGGCTTATAATTGTGTGAAATGATCACACAAATAGCCTAGAAGATGTGATGGTTTAGGTCGTAACGGATGACAACCTCGGAATCCTAATACTAGTTAGGGCTTATATTATATAGCAGAGCTACACAAAGGCCTAAAGATGAGTTGAGGATTTATGTTGCACTAGGCAGACAACTTCGAAATCCTATGACTTGGTTGTTTAATTCTAAGGAATGAATGGTTTAGCTAATGAAGACATGTTTTGCTGTTGAAGATGGTCATGCTGCTCACAATGCTAGCTCCTAGTCGTGACGAGTTTAATATTTCTAATGTGTTAGGTTATGATTTCAAATTAGATGACCCTAAAGTTATGATTACTAAAATATTATGGGGCATGTTAAAGTTGATTAGAGTGACACCGGTTAGGATCTTACGGTTCCCTTGTTTCAGTACCATTATTTTCTATTAAATTTACTTAGTCCAAATGAATTTACTAAACTCAACTTAATTAGTTTGATACTTTCATTTAAACCGAGGGAAGTCTTGTTAGCAACTGTAGGTTACCTCCTCCGAGGGATTCCCGATCATACGATGGAGACGTCTTAATTTAGTTGCAATTATGGTTTTGTGATGTTTGTGATTAAATTTTAAGTTGTCATATATTTTGAATTTTGTGACGGTGAATTTTATCTTGATTGGTTTTAGTTTTGGTTTTAGTTTTGGGTTTTGCGGCTATCCTAGCAGTTTTAGTTTTCATGCAGGGTGACATCGTTGTTTAACATGCAAATTTGTGTTATTGTTCATACATGCAGGTGAGTAAGTACAGTAACGTACTGGGAAGTAAATTACAGGAAACTAGAAATGCAGGTAAAATAAAAGCGTACCTAGATGGTCTTCTTGTCATCCTCAACTGAAACTCAAAATGCATGCAAGAGTATTTATATATTAAAAGCACTTTATGTAAAGCGGGGAAATAAGGTTCTGGTGATCTATCAAATCCTAAATCATATCTTAGTGAGCCCTCATTAATTTGATTAAGGATAATTTTGTTAAGCAATACATACTAAGTTTAGTAGACCTCCGAGGTATCCAAAAAGTTCAGAAGGAAGAAGTAGATACATGCTTCCCTCTCACCGCCTGGTGAAAAAAACCTCAAGATAATTTAAACTTATTGTGTTGCTTAATAATTCATCCTATGAATACCTCTAATGCTTGGTGAACATTGATATTTTAATTATCCCTAAAAGTAAGGTGACTATCATTTGTCTTTTATTATGAGAATTATGTGGGTGAAGACCCTTAAAGGGGCTAGTTAATGTTATTAAGATACTTAATCAATTTTAGTTTTAACTTGGGCTTGTAGTGTTTTAAAAGTGTTCAATTTCTAGTTGCATTCACTTTTCTAATCCCCATTCAACCCATTCACTTTTCTAATACTTTTCTAATCCCCATTCAACCAAATTTGGTTTAGCCTATGTCACTAGTAAGCCCTTAAGACCTTAGTGGATATATTAGTAATTTTTTATAGAAACTGAATTTTAAGTGATAATAATTCATTATCAAAATATTTGAATTTCATTTAAACACCATATAAGGGTATTAAATTAGCGAGTTATTAACATCTAAAATCATACCCCTAAGTCTAGGATCATTTAATTTAATAATCTTCCAAATTTTAATAATTTAGGAATTAACAAATTTATCCTTTAATTAAGAAAAATAATATTGGTTCCTACCAATTAATTTCTTATGTTTCAATCATCTGAATGTGGTAATTAAGATCAAATATTGCCCATTTCCCCATCTTGAATTAAGCCTAAATGATGATTAAGACTAAATTTCCAAAATTATACATATGCCCTTGAGGCTTTATCAGTTCATAATTCTTCAAATTTAATTCAAATGACTTTGGAATTTTTATCCGAATTTTTATCAAATGACTTTGGAATTTTTATCCTACCTCACTCATGAGTCAATTAAGATATCAGAGGAGAAAATGTGATTTTTTAAAATTTAGTTTAATTTATATGATTATTTACATGCAAAAATAGGATTTTTCAAAGAAATTCAATAACTTGTGCAAGGGAAATCATAATCACTTAAAATATTTATTGGAGCTACAACTGAACTAGAGAACCACCTGGACCAACTTTTATGACTTTTTGAGTTTTATTTGAATTACTAGAATTATTTTAAATTCTGGAGCATTAATTAATTATAAAATATTTCAAATGTGAAAAATTAAGTTCTATATTTTTATTAAATCTCTCCAAGGTCATAAAACTCAGGGAAATAAACGTTACATTTTTCCAGTTTTTCTTTGAATTATTAGAATTATTTTAGTGAGAAATTAAGGAAAATTCATTTTTAGCCTTTAAAAATTATTTTTTAGCCTTTAAAAATTATTTTAAGCTATTTTGAGCAATATCTTCACCTAGAAAATTAGAAAAAATATTCCAATTGCTCCTAAGGACTTAGGAAACAATTTAGAATATTTATATAAATTTTATTAATTTTGTGGTTTTTATTAATTTTTTATTATTTAAATATTTAAAATATGCTTAAAAATAAAATTTTTACTTTAATTACAATTTTATTTTTAAAAAATTTTTCTAATCACAGAGAACTCCCAAAATACTAATTTTATAATTTTTTGAGTTATATTTTAATTTTTTTGATTAATTTAAGTGTTAAAAGAGGCCTCTAACTTAGAAAATTAAATTAGGTTATCAAATGAACTCCAAATATTTTGAAATTTTTATGGGTTGTGCTATGAACTTAAGTTATAATGGATAATTAAATTTAAGTCATTTAGATGTTTATTTTTCCCAAATTAATTTCCTTTTTATTTTAGGGTTTTGTGAAAATTGGGTGTGTTCTTAATGACTTAGCTCATGACAAATTTTTTGTAGGGTTCTCTGGTGAGAATGAACCTAGCAAAATTTTCTTGGATTTTTCTAAGAAACATGCTAATTATTATGAATAATATATAAAAATAAAAAAAAAAATTATGTAAATTATAGATATAAACTTGAAAAATACATTTCTCCTCATAGGGGTCTCCTCTGACTTTGGAAAATCAGGGAAGATCCCCCATGATAGAGGCTACAAAAGACCCAAATAGCATGTCATGGTGAAATACTTGAATTCATGGGCAACGAAAAGATTTAAAAGCATATTTAATTAATTAAAAATCACACATGCATCAAATAAACTTTAAACCATTTCCACATTGTTCTCCTCTATTAATTTAGCACTGGGATATTTTTTTATTTTTATGATTTTTCTATGCAAAGTTATGCATTTTTGAAGTTTAGAGAATTAAATAAATCCTAAAATATCCTATTTTTCCACTTAACCAAGTCACCTCGGTGGCGTCGAACCAGCCATGCGTCGAGCTCTGATTCAGCTCATTTCACCTGGTTGACGGTGCATTCACAGACTGAAGCATCGTCTGACTCCATCTAATCTGTCCATCAGTGAACCGCGCATTCTGATGGCTAAAGGTCTTCATCCTTGTCGGATGTGCGCCAAGAACCGTCCACCTTCTAACCCTAATTTTGTAGCCAAGACTTAACCAAATTGAGTGCATTTTATTTCTAAAGTTTCATCTGGCCTAGAGGAACACATTTATACGGCTAAGATGCTATGAAATCAAGTAAATAAGCATGGATAATTAATTTAATCTCGGGAGATGGAGGAGATTCAATACCTTAGTCCAAGAGGTGAGGCCTCAATTAGATTGCTTCTAAACCTTCGTGTGGACTTTGCGAAGCTCCTCCAAGCACAGATTTAAGCTCTCCTTGGTTCCAAGTATGAAAGTGATGAAACCTAATTTGGGTGTTGATCAAAGTCAGGGTTAGGGTGGTCTAGTGATTGGGCTTTGATAGGGGAACTTCTTCTCTCAGTGTAGGGATGGTGTGAGTGAGTTTAAATTGATTTTGGTGGAGTTTTCGAGAGTGTCCTATTTCTATTCTAATTTTTAAGTTCAAAATTACGGTTGCACGGGGGGAATTAGGGCAAGAGGACAGTGGAACTGAGTTTCTCTATGTTATGGGGGAAGTTTATAATCAATTGGACAAAGTTTGTTAAGGTTGCTTTCGGGCACCTCTCTAGCCGTGGGGTATGGCTGCTTAAATAGAGGAGCCATGGGGCTTCAATTGGCTAGCCAGTGTTTGGTTAGCCCAATTGCTTAGGTGGTGGGAACAAGGCCTTAAGCCTCCAATTGGATTTGGACAGCTTTTATGGGCTTAATTGTGTGTTGACCATTTTTGGCCTTCACGGGTTGGTGTTTTCATGTGATCCATGTGGTGGCTGGCCAAGGTTCAGTCACTTCTTGGCTCAGGGAGGTTAGGGGGTGTTTAATTATGATTTACTCCCACAGGAAAGCAATAATTGAAGAGAGTTTGTGGTTAAAAACTAAAAATGGGAATGAATCCCTTAATTTAGGGACCCATTGGTCCATAGCTTTCTTGGGTGGACCAAAGAGGTTTATCTTGGTCAATAGAGTGTGCTTAGTGTCTAGGGTGTCATCGATTTGGTGGCTTTAAGATGGCTAAGCCAATTTTGGTGCATGGGCTCAATTTGGGTCCAAGTTTAGCTAGCCATGACTTTAAGACCAATTGATCAATCAAAATTGCGTAGATGATTGTTATGAAGATTTTTGGTGAAGGATTGAAATGATTTTGAGTGCACTTGGGGGTTCAATTTGAAGGTTTTTAGTCTTGGTTAATTTCAATATGTTGGACTAGATTTGGGTCTAGGTCGGGCTAAGGTTCGGCTAAACCCAAATTTAATTTTTGAAAATGGTCTATAGGAACATCATGAAGAGTTTTCGACATAAATTGGGTGCCAATTTTGGTTTTAAGGCATTCAATTTGGTGGATTTTTGGGACAGCCAATTTGGGGAAAGTTTGGGGATTTTTGGACTTGGGTCAAAATTAAATGACATTGAGACTTCATCAAGGCCAATTGAAGGTCAAATTTGATGTTTAGGATTTTTATGAAGATTTTAGGATTCAAATTGTGGCAAATCAAGTTGGTCATTGGGTTTAATTAGGTAAGATTAGGTCATAGGATCACAATTGGGGGTTTGGCTTAGATCAAAATTGGGCTCAAAGCATGGGCCAATTAAGCTTAGATTTGGATTAGGTTGGTCATATGAAGGTGAATTTGAGTTTTAGAACCGAAATTGAGGGAAGTTTGTGCCAAATTGATGGACATTTGATGTGAATTTGGGAAAGTTGGGCCTTTAAAGGCAATTTGGGGGTTTTGGTAAAAATGGTCAAATTGGTCATATTGGATTCAATTAGAGGGTCAAAATTTCTCTTAGAAACATTTGAAGTGACTTTGGAGGTTTTGGGAAAGTTCAGAGTGCCAATGGTATTTTTGTAATTTTGGGGGTATTTTGGTAAATTTGGCATTTTTGGGTAATTTTGGGTAATTTGGGTATTTGGGTAATTTGGGTATTTTGGGGTAATTTTGGGTAATTTGGGTATTTTGAAATGGTTTTGTTATGATTTTTGAACAAATTTGGGTATTTTGGGTGAATTTTAGAAATTTGACCAAATTTATAATTTCGAGGGCATTTAGGTAATTTGGGTGGATTTAGGGGCAATAGGCAAGGTTGGACGTTTTGGTAGATTGGGGTGCCAACCACCTTAATAGGCCATGGACCAATGAAATACCTATTTGGGTCCTCCATGTACTAGTCTTAGCTAAACCCTAGCCTATGGTTAGTGGGTTTAGGGGACCATCTACATGAGTTCCCAAAGAGTTAAGGGACCAACAAAACATATTTGACTAAAGCCTTAGGTTGTGAGTGGTTGCGACTGATTGTGGGTGAGAGTGAGTGTAGGTGAGTGAACTAGCTCTAGAACAACACCCAGAGCATATCCTAAGGTCAGAAAGTCCAATGGGGGCTCATCTTGAGCTCCCTCATATTGACCTCACCTACTAAGTGCTAGAGGTTAGGACATATACATGGAACTTAAAACTGAGCAAGAAGGAGTTTAGAATTTTTAATGGTGAGGGTTCCTTTTGTAGTTTTCTAGGAATAGTCCACAGGAAAATTCTATGGATAGACCCTAGGCTACTAAAGAGGAAGAACTAAACCTCAACCAAAAGTGAGGTCAACAACGTCAAATCTGGAACATCATGCGCCAAGGCTCTGTAAGTTCGCATAATATGCGCCAATCTGACGCATCATGCGCTAGAGCGTATTTTTGCAAGATCTCAGTTTCTATGGAAATGTGCTCCGTACCACTTTACATTATGGAACCCACTCTTGGTTGAGGTTTAGTTTTCCCTCTTTAGTAGCCTAGGGTCTAGCCATAGGACTTTCCTGTTGACTATTCCAAGAAAACTAGAAAATGAACCCTCACCATTATAAACTCTAAACTCTTCTTTACTCAACTTAAAGTTCCACATATTGGTCCTTTCCTCTAGGACTTTTTAGGTAGGTTCAATATGGGGGATCTCAAGGAGAGTCCCTATAGGACTACTTAACCTTAGGGTTGACTCTGGGCGTTGGTCTGGAGTTAGTTCATACACTTGCACTCACTATCACCCACAATCACTCACAATCCTAAAACCCGAAATTGTTGACATTGATCCATTGATCTTTTGAGAGACTCATGTAGATCGTTCCCTAGACCCACCAGCCTTAGGTTTGGGTTTAGCTAAGGCCAGTACATAGAGAACCCAAAAGAAGGTTTCATTGGTCCATAGCTCATATAGGGTGGTTGGCACCCCAATTCTACCAAAGTGTCCAACTTGGCCTTTTGCCCCTAAATCCACCCAAATAACCTAAATGCCCTTGAAACCCTAAATTTGTTCGAAATTCTCAAATTCACCCAAAATACCCTAATTTGTTCAAAAATCATTTCAAACAATTTGAAAAATACCCAAATTTCCCAAATCCACCCAAAATTTCCAAAATTGCCAAAATACCACAAAAATTGCCAAAATTACAAAAAAACCCTTGGCACCCCAAACTTTCCCAAAACCTCCCAAATCACTCTAAATGTTTCTAAAACCAATTTGAAACCTTCAATTGAACACAATTTGGCCAATTTTACCAATTTGACAAAAACCCCCAAATTGTCTTTAAAGGTCCAATTTACCCAAATTCACTTCAAATGTCCATCAATTTGGCCCAATTCCCCTCAATTTCAATTCTAAACTCAAATTCATCTTTCATTTGATCAATACAAACCAAATACAAGCCTAATTAACTAGTTTTTAAGCTCAATTTTGATTTAAATCAAAACCCCTAATTTTAACCATATGAGTTAACCCCACCAAATTGAACCCCATAACCTACTCAATTTACCCCAATTTGAATCCTAAACTCTTCATAACAATCCTACACGTCATATTGGACCTTTTATTGGCCTTGGTGAAGTGTCAATTTCATTTAATTTTAACCCACATTCAAAATCCCCAAATATACCCCAAATTGGCTATGTCCCTAAAGTCCACCAAATTGAGTAACCTAACCCCAAAATTGACACCAAATTGATGTTGAAAACTCTTCATGACATTCCTATAGGCCATTTTTAACCATAAATTTGAACTTAGCCCAACCTTAGCCCAACCTAGACCTAAGTCTAGTCTAAGATGACTTTATAAAATCATTTACACAATGTAGATCAATCAATTGAGCTCAAAGTCGTGGCTAGCGTAACCCAAACCCAACTTCTAGCCACTTTGACCCAAATTGAACCCATGTACCAAAATTGACTTAGCCATGCCTAAGCCACCAAATTGATGACTCCACGGCCTCCAAGTACACCTTATGGACCAAGCTATACCCACATAAACTAGCGAAAGTGAGCTATGGACCAATGCTCCCTTAATTTAAGGGATTTCACCCCATATTTGGCCTAAACTCAAATATCTTCTTGTTCATCACTTACCTTTGGAATTTAACCATCTTTAGCAGCTCCCTAACCTCCCTGAGCTAAGAAGTGACTAAAATCTAGCCAGCCACCACCTCAGCCGCTGGAAAAAGCCAGCTCAAGAGAGCCTCAAGTGGCAAAAACCTAGAATTAAACCTCCTTGAAGTGGGTCACTCCCATTGGCCATTAGAGCCTTTTTTTCCCTCCACCTCAGCATGCTTTAACACCCAATTCCCATCTCTGAGCTCCACCGGGCAGCCATGGCTTTAAATGGACCTCTCCACGGCCAAAGAAGGAGAGCTTGAAAAACTTGGGGAAACTTCCTTAAGAAAACTCTGCCAAAATCTCACCAGAGCTTCTCCAAACCATCCAAGTGCAATCCCCTTGCTCTTAGCCACTGATAACCATCCCTCAGAGCTTATTTCTCCACTGAAATTTGCCCTAAATCCAGGACAGATCTCTCCACTCCACCACAATTAACCAAACTTCAATTAATTGTGCACACACCATCTCCATAGCGAAAGAAGTTGATTCCCCACAAAAGCCCCCTCTAAAATAGCCTCTAACATAGCTCTAGACAAGCAACTGAAATCCACTTTGATCAAATTCATAC